ATATGAATAAAATATGGAAAATATGTACACCAATGTACTCATACAATGACAAGTGGGCCTGAATGGCCAAGTGTCTAGCGCTCGGTGTCACAGGTATCGGGTTCGAGTCCCGGCAGTGCCATGGATGTTTGTAGTGGTTCGGAATCCACTTTAAACCGTAGGTCCCAGTCTAATATAGCTGCTGAGCTGGTATCGTAATCTGCCAGTAATTGTTGCGGAGATGGGGCTGTTGCGCCGATGATGAGTGCAATATTAATTGATCTGCTCAAATTTTTCTACTTTACTATTGCGCTTGTGATTTATTTGATAATGTTTTAATGAAACTATACTTAAGAATAAATTATGTTTTCGTTAATTAAATGCTTATAGAACTAACAAAATTCGGAAATAATAGGTTCCAGAGATTATCAAATTGATCTTAGTTTAGTTGTAAAAAAATGATCATGCCATAAAAAAATGATCATATAAACTCTGTACAACTCGATCAATTTTCGTATATGAGAAAAAATTTAGCATGTAATAAGTCATAAAGCCCGACTCGTAGCTCAGTGGCAACGTGCACCTCTGCAGAGCATTACGGCGTATGTTCAATCCGCTGGGGTCTTGTTGTAGACACTGTTTCAGAAGCGAGGAGGCTCAATGGCTTTTGTGATGTTCAGCATCTTGCCTCGTTTCTCAGATTACCTGACGGGAATTTTCCGTGTTTTCTCCTATACGATACCAATTGGCTAGCACGCTGGCCATTAGTATTACAAGCTTCAGGTTCGAATCATGGCGGTGGCATGGATGTTTGTGGGTGGTTCGGTATCCACGTTAAACTGTGAGGTCCCGGTCTAATCTAAGAGGGCCGTAGAGCGACAAACCAAATCCTATACGATACACAAATAAAGGATAGTTTCCCCCTAAAAGTCCTCCCTGAAGGCACTGCCCTCCTTCTACAGCAACTCGGAGCCAAGTCAGACTTCTAACAACGGTTACGGACCCTTTACTTCTTCCATGAGTAGATGAGTTGACTACTCATGGGATGTCAATCCCACACTGCAAGATACTGAGGATTAGGCACATCATAAGTGATAAAAAAAATTTTTAGATTCTTTAGTTAGTTCATATTCATAATCCCTGGTAACATAAAATTTTAATGTTTCTCTGTTAAATTATCACTTTAATTTCAAAATTGAAAACAACGGTGCGTAACATGTTGGTAAATCAATTTATTCAAAGTATACTATCAGAAAGAATACTCAAAAATTCTTTGGAAATATTAAATTATTATATTAAGCCAAAAAAATATATATTACAAATAATTATTTATTTTATTTTATTTTACTTTGATTTGAAATCGAGAACTCTTCCTAAATTGTTTTTTAAAATGCTGAAAAAAAGATAATATTTTATTAAAAAGATTTTAGAGTACTAAGTGTAATTTGATGCTACCATAAATGAGTTATCAACCATTTTGTTGTATATATTGGCTTTATTGCCTGAACGGCAACAAGCAATATAAAAAAAAAAAAAATTTAAAAGTCAATTCCTACTTTTTTTTCATTGTATTGCGGAAAGTCCTTTATAAATAATTTTCATTCATTTTTTAAATTTATCTGGCGCCATCTATTGGTAGATACATGCAACTTAAAGCTAAAAAAAACTAAAATTAATTTATTAATCTTAATTACTGAATTAATATTTGAAAAAAACTGTATTAACATCCAGTGGCATCCACTACAAATTCAAAAATAATGTATTTGAACTTGAGTGGATGAATAAAAAGTATTTTATGACGATTGAAAATTTGAACAAGATATATATAGGGAGAGTGTGAGCTAATAGAAGGAAGTGAAAAAAGACCTAAACTGAGAAATTAAGTTTCTTAAATTTTCATATTTTATTTGCCTAATTCTAGATTCTAGAAAAATAAGAATAAAAAAAAAGTAAAAAGGTTTTTTTTTCTAGATGAAAAAATGTGATTGCAAAATGTTTATTTCATTTGTGTGTAGTTGCAACAAATGTTCAAAATCTTTTTTGTTAACCTAGTACCGAATGTTCTAAATGTTTGCTAAATAAATTGTTCAATAACTTGAAATATAAATAGAAAAAAATAAAGCAATATGTATAAAACTTATTTTGCCGAACTGGTATCATCAAATATGGACAAAATTTATTTTTAGATTAATTAAATGTGTTGCAAAGTTTACGGTTATTTTAATCTTAGTGATCTATTTTCAGCAAAATGTTTTTGATTAACATAGAATATCATGTGACCACTTTGTTCTTCCAGTATTAAACGAACCTTTATTTTAAGAATTTAATACAAACTTCATACGAAAAAGATTTCATATGTAAAATGACTATCACTCATATTCTTCAACTATTGTGGGTATACTTAGACTGTTATTTGATACCTTACCATATAATACACTCAAGAGCCAAAACATTATGACCACCCCTACATTTTGCAATGAACTCGCCTGGATGACGTGGAAGGCCCGTGATCAGGTGGAAGTGGTATTTAACTGCTGTTGGAGCGTCTCTGGGACCCGTGGTTGTGGTAGAGCAGACCATGAATGCTACAGGGTATCTGAGCATCATTGCGGACCAGTTGCACCCTTACATGGCCTCTGTTTTTCAAGCTGGAAATGAAATGTTCCAACAAGACAACGCCCCTTGTAACAACGCTAAAATTGTATTGGAGTGGTTCCAGGAACATGATGCTGAATTCCTGTTAATGTCCTGGCCACCTAACTCACTGGACCTCAATCCGATAGAACACATTTGGGATGTCCTGGGACGGCAGCTCTGAGTTCAAAGACCACCAATTCGCAATATCTCGGATTTGCGTGACCGTTGCTTAAACATCTGGTACAATCTGTCTCCGGCCATCTACCAAGGACTTGTGGCATCCATAGCAAGGAGGGTTGAAGCTGTGTTGCGCACCAAAGGTGGGCCAACTCCGTTATTGACAGGTGGTCATAATGTTTTGGCTCTTGAGTGTATATACGCGTGTCAAAATTGATATGATAAACTTTCAAGGATAATATACAAAACACAATTATTTTTTATAGAAATGTAAGAGTATCCAATAACATTTTTAAAAGAAGTATTTCTATTTAAAAGTTGTTTTTAACTTTTTTTCAGAATGAATTTTTATGCTTTTAGTTTTAATTTGAAACACTATAACACAGGTAAATTTGATCCAAATGCTACAAAACTTACAGGGAATAGATATTGGTTCTCTTCTAGCTATATAAATATTCTTTTTTTTTTTAATTGTTAAAATTAGAACTATATTCAGATTTTGGAAGAATTTTGTGTCGACAACATTTAAACCAATATAAAATAATAAATAATAAAGATATAAATTTACCAGAGTTATAATGTAGAATGTTAGTACAAACAAATACAAACATAGAAATTCAAAAAATATTGATTTAATTTTGAGTTAACATGTTTTGTAGCAGTATCAATTTTTGGCAATTTTTACCCTTATTTTAGCCTAAAAAAATTTTAAAAACAAGTACTATATATAAAAAAGATTTTTAATCAATTCCTACTTTTTTTTCACTATATTGCAGAAATTCCTTTATAAATAATTTCCATTCCTTTTTTTTAAGTTAGAAAAAATTCTCTCTCTCTCTCACATACACACCTTCTATCTCTCTCATCAATTTATTCACATGCTTCATTTTCCATTTTGTCCTCCTATTGACTAGAACCCAGAATAAAAAAATCTTAAAAAGAAATTTTTTTCCAGCGATCTACACGCTTCACCACTGGCGGTATTTATTCCTAAATTTATATCCTACTAAATATCTTACATAAGAGAAATTTTTTTTCTCCTATATAAAACTAAAATTGGGGGCCTGAATGGCCAGTGCTCTGGCGCTCGGTACCACAGGTTTCGGGTTCGAATCCCGGCGGTGCCATGAATGTTTGTAGTGGTTCGGAATCCACTTTAAACCGTAGGTCCCGGTCCTAATAGGATCATAGAGCGTTGCGGGGACAATGTTACTCCGCGTCCGTGGCTTATCTTCAAGTTACACGCGCCCCTTGGGTAATGCAAAGTGAGTAATGTCTGCGCAGCGCTTGCCTTAAGGCATCCAAAAAAATAAAGTGTGTGAACAAGCTGTCTAAGTGTTTGCCAGCTGCATTAAAACAAAAAAAAAAAACTAAAATTAATTAATTAAATTTTATTAATGAATTAATATTTGAAAAAAAAACTGCATTAACATCAAGTGTCATCCACTGCAAGTTTCAAAAAATGTATTTGAACTTGAGTGGAGGAATAAAATATACTTTATTAACGATTGGAAATTTGAACAAGATATATATAGGGAGAGTGTGAGCTAATAGTAGGAATTTAATAATAATAAAAAAAAATTATGTAAAATCATAAGTTTTTAGATGTGTTCAATCCAAAAATGTGTATAAAGATAAAGTATTTCAATAATTTCAAAAAAAAAATCCCTCCAAAGGTGTCAGTGTACCTTAATTAATACAAGAGCAAACAGAGAAAACTTCAAAAAGTTACGAATCATACTTTTTACAATTATGCATTTACATTTATTTTCTACATCCTCTTGATACTGCAACCACCGATAAAAAGTACATGCGCTGTGAAAATATTGAAATAGACTTTCGAAATTGCGAGATATTTTTCTACAAACAAAATTTTTTGACAAGATCCTCTACAAACACAACTAGAGTTGCAATCACACGATTCTTCAGTTGCCCGTTATAAGAGGAATCAAGGTAGACATATCTGAAAATTCATGTTGTACATCAGATTGTATCAGTGTAATTTCTCACGAATTAGCTTTAAAGAAATGCATTGGCGATCTATCATGTAGAAATCATGTATACCATCGGAACTTACGTTAAAGAAATACGGTAGCTATCTATCACGTAGAAATCATATCTACCACCACTGGAAAGGTTAACAATTTAATTATCTTCTCTCTGTATTGGAAACATTAAAATTGCTTATCACATGAACGTAAAAGCCCACGGCCATACCATGCTGAATATACCGGTTCTCGTTAGATCACCGAGAGCGGTCAGTACTTGGGTGGGTGACCACCTAGGAACACCGCGTGCCGTTGGCATTCACAAATTTGGGACCTGAATGGCCGAGTGTCTAGCGCTCTGGCGCTCGGTGCCACAGGTTTCGGGTTAGAATCCCGGCGGTGCCATGGATGTTTGTAGTGGTTCGGACTCCACTTTAAGCCATAGGTTCCGGTCTCCTATGACTGTAAGAGCGTCACGGAGCCAAAGTCAGCCTTCTACCTACGGGTGCTCCATCACAATAGAATCTGCTTCCTTCCCCTTCAATCATGAGTACGTATGGGCTCGTGGGCTGGGCCAGGCAAGTGGGATAAGAAACAACAAACAACAACATAAAAGTAATCCAAGTTGGTTAGTTGATGCTGTTTCATGACACAAGGGTCAATGTTGATCATACATATTTTGATTTAGTTTATTTTGTTGTTCTATGGTTATTTTGTGCACACTGTGGGCTAATTAGACTGGGACTACATTTTAAAGTGGATTCCGTACCACTGCTACTACTACTACAGCACACCACATCACTGTGCCTAGAGCTGAGTTGCCCTTATACTGTTCAGGAATGATGTGGGTGAAACGAAGTCGGATTGGGATCTGTGACGCTCTACGGTCATATGAAATTAAGACCTACGACTTAAATTGGATTCCAAACCACTACAAACCTCTATGGCACCACCGAATTCTGAACCACTAACAAACATCCATTTCACCACTAGGATTTGAACAAGAAGCCTGTAGTAATAAAGGCCAGAGCGCTAGCCAATTGGCCACCAGGCCGCTATATATATTTTGAGTTAGAATATCAACACTTGCAATTATATGAATTTTATTCTTAATAAACTACTATTTTTCCCTGTTTTTTCCCCATTTGCTAACAACCAAATTACATTATTTTTTTTTTTTTTTATAAAAAAGGGTGTTTTTTGTTAAATTTGATTTTATAAATTTTTTCTTAACAATTTTAACTCTACTAGTATGGAACTGCTATTTTATAGGGCGATGTTAACTCCTTTTATTTAGTAGTTCTGATTTAGTAGTTTTGTGATAAAAATTATCAATAGTTCCCTAACTTTATTCGTTTAATTCTAAGCAGTCAATTAAGCGAGGTTAGCAATTTCATTATTTTGTTTATTTGAAGCATTAAAGTAATCTTAATTGGCCGGTTGATGCTTTTCATGGCACAAGGGCCAATGTTGTCCATAAATACTTTGGCATTGAAACTGATATTCTATTTAAATTGTAATTATAAAATTTTATTCTTTATAAACTACTGGTTATCCATGCTTTTTATTTTTTGCATTTGTGCACTATCAAATTACATTATCTATGTATTTTTATATAAAAATCATTTTTTGTATTAATTATCATCAACATCATCATTATCGGCTCAACAGCACAATGGTGACCAAGGACATCTGTCTACTGAGGCACGGGTTTTACGGGGTATTGTTGTTAGCCCTACGCCCAATAGTCATTATAGATCTGGGGCCTGATGGCCAAGTGGCTAGCGCTCGGTACCACAGATTTCGTGTTCGAATCCTGGCGGTGTCATGGAGGTTTGTAGTGGCTCAGAATCCACTTGAAACAGTAGGTCCCGGTCTCATAAGAGCGTAGAGCGTCACTGAGCCCAATCAGACTTTTTTTTACGCACATCAATCCTGAGCTGTACAGGGGTAACTCAGCTCTAGGCACAGTGATGTGGTGTGGTGTAGTAATAGTAATAGTAGCCATATTGTATCGGGACCTACTGTTTAGAGTGGATTCAAACCCACTATAAACATTCATGGCGCCACCCGGACTCGAACCCGAAAACTGTGGCACCGAGCTCCAGAGATCTAGACACTCGGCCATTCAGGTCCAATTCCGAGTAACTAACAAACACCATGCCACCACCAGAATTCGAACTTGAAACCTGTGGGAACAAAATCCAGAGCGCTAACCAACTGGGCATCAAGCCGCCATATATACTTTGAGTTAGAATATCAATTTTAATGCCAATCTTATAACTGCAATTATAAGAATTTTATTCTTTATAAATTACTGTTTTTCATATTTTTTTTTTTTAATTTGCGAGCAATCAAATAATATTATCTATGCATTTTTATATAAAAAATCTTTTTTTTATTAACTTATTAACAATTCTCACTCGCCTAGTGTGGAACTGATACTTTATAAAGTGATGGTAACTCAGTTAATATAGTAGTTTTAAATTAGCAGTTTGTAACAAAAATTACCAAGAGTACCCCAACTTTATTCGTTTAATTCTAAGCAGTTAATTAAGCGAAGTTAGCAATTTAATTATCTTCTTTACGTTAAAACATTAAAATTGCTTATCACATGAACATTAAAGTAATCTTAATAGGTTAGTCGATGCTGTTTCATGGCACAAGGACCAATATTGTCCATAGATACTTTGAATTGTAGTATTAATTTCAATGACAATTTTACAATTGCAATTATAAGAAATTTATTCTTTATAAACTACTGTTTTTCCATGTTTTTACTTTTTCATTTGCGCACAATCAAATTTAATATTGATTATATCAAATTGTAAGTGTATTGCATCAAATTCATATAAATATTGATTTGCATATCAAATTGCAGTTATATGTATTTTTAGATAAAATCGTTTTTTTTTTTATTAACTATCATCATTGTCACAACAGCTTCAAGGTGGCCAAGGCCATCTGTCTACTTGCAGATTACGAGACGTTTTTGTTAGAGATCATTTTTTTACGGGGTAGGTTACCAGCCCAACGCTCAACAGCCATATTAAACTGGGACGTAAGGTTTAAAGTTGGTTCTGAACCACTACAAACATCCATGGCAACCCCTGCACTCGAAACCGCAACAAAATAATTACCAGAGAATTTAAAACAATAATTACAGAATTTTTATATGGTGTTACAGTTAGAAAGATGGTTTGTATGGTGTTACAGATTCGAAGCAGAGGCTTTATTTTTACGGGGTAAGGTTGCCATTCCTACTCTCAACGCTCTACAGTCATATTAGATCGGGCGTATGGTTTAAAGTGGATTCCGAGCCATTACAAACATTTAAGGCATCGAGCACCAGAGCGCTAATCACTCGGCCATTAGGCCCCTTTATCAACTTTGATCGTATAGAAATTTAACAATTCCGACCTAGAAAGGAACTGATATTTTATAGAGTGATGTTAACTCAGTAAATTTAGTATGAACCACGTTTTTCATTTCATTTGTGAGCAATCAAACATTATGCATGCATTTTTATATAAAAGTCGTTTCTTTTATTAACCTTGATTTTATAAAATTTTCTCAAGAATTCTGACTAGCCTAGTATGGAACTGATATTTTATGGAGTGATGTTAACTCCATTAATTTAATAGGTTTGATTTAAGAGTTTTGTAATAAAAATTACCAAGATTGCCCATGTCATCATTTATTAAATTCCTTGTCAAATAATCACCATTTAATCACACCATACCTTATTTTTCCAGAGGATAGTCTCTTTATAGATAACCCAGCGACGGGAAACGATAAGTCACTTGGAGCCCACTGATCTTCAGCTTAAGTCCCAGAATTTCGGCACGAGCCCTGTGTAAAAAGCCTCCTGTCGCCGAAATTGGGTGCTCCGCCGAAATCACCACTGATCACCCTTTAGCGGGAGGGCAGGCGAGAAAGTTTTCTCGGGAAAGTGAGTCCCTCCATCATCGGGGGAGATGAGTGAATCGATCTCCCCCAGCGACACCGTGTTGACAAGTTGAAGACTTCACCGCAGACTTAGTTCCAGCAAGTGCAGGATCCACCACAAGCTGAGAGCTCGACGGAGGGATCGGGTACAAAGTGAACGAGTACCACGCTTCAAATACGCATTAAACAATTCAAATAATTGATTTTCCTTTTTAAGATGAGTAAGTTATTTATAATTTATTATATATTTTTTGTTTTATTCATAATTTAATTATATTTATTTCCAAATATAAATTACCCACTATCACTATATGACACGTAGATATAGATCGTATATGTAGTATATATAGATCACTATATGAGTTACTATTATCACATGTTTCTTCTACTAATTTCGAAGAAAATAACAATGAGTAACAAATGCAAGTGATATTAAGCAATAAATCTTGCAATTGTTTAACTTAAATTACGTATTGTACTCGAATTGTTAATTCAACTCAATTTTTGTACTCGATTAACTCAATCCTTGTTTCCTAGGACACGGATTCCCACAAATAACAAACTGTGGGTCAAATTGGCAACATACTGAACAACCTGAAGAACAAAACTACTGAAACAACCCAACAACAACAGAACAAACAATACAACATACCTGAAGAACAAAACTACTGAAAAAGTTTTGATAACCAACATTTAATTGCTACTTAAATAAAAACTTATTCATAAATCAAAAGTTACGTCATAATATAAAAAATAAGTGAGATTTTGTGTGGAAACTAATGTTAAAAAATATGCAAAACGCATGAAGGTAATGAGTGGTAACAATTCGATATGATAACAATGAAGTCCAGATGACGAAAATAAAAATAAAATGTATACAAAAGAACGAAGGCAAAGGTCACTGGTTCGCCAAAGGGTTGTGATGCCCTAAGAGATTCTAAAAGAGATGTTCCCCTGAGGGCCCTTTGAGTATTGAAAGCATACTCAAAGCAGCAATATCATATGATTCTGAGTCGCCTAGAAGTACCTTGTTCTTCCTTTGTACTTCCTTGTTGTTCGTAAACTTTGTTTCGAGACATCCTGTAGATATTGTTAAGAAAAAATTAGAATCTTCTTCTTCAACTGCTACAAATCGTATATTGTTTTATACTCCCTTAAAGAATACTTTTTTCAAAAGCAGGCCAAAATAGTATGTAATATTAGAAAAATAGGTTTTCTATCGTTTATATATATTGAGATCGAAGTTTATCAGTTCATATATAATATGTTTCATATATTTGTTGCGTGCATTAACATAAATTTATGTAAACAAATAACAACACTGTAGCAGACTAAATTAATTATTCCACACATTTATTTATACGAA